TTTATAACTAGTCGATGCCTGACCAAGAATATAAGTCAGAATACATGAACTGAACACTCATTAACACTTATAAAAGACGTGTAACAATCTACAGAGCGCAATGGTTAATTGGATTTCCTGAGTCTGATTTGGAATATGTTTTCGCCTTGATCATCCTTCATGAATTGTGTTCAAAAGTTTGATGATCAGCACAGTCCGTATAGAGTGTTTAAGATTCACTGTCAACTTGTTGATGGGTTGTAAGTTTCATCTGATCATTCTGGATGAAGGAAATTTCCATATGAGCAGTGACGCAGCTGCGTCATCTCATCGGTGGGATGGAATAAGCTTTCCTGTTGTGGTGGTGTATTCAGAGTTTGGGTTATATTACAATGATTTATATTTTCAAACTGTATTCAAAGATTTGTGGTAAGCACTTCAAAGCTTCTTGTTTAATTAAATGTCTGGGTTCAAGTTACACCAAACTTGTAACGAAGTAGTTCATCATGTTGGTCATGGTAAATTCTGATAGAATGATATTGTTCAACCATAAGCGATTCCTTTCCACAATGCAGAGTTAGGAGGAAACATAAACTCAGTAAAACAGAAACAGAAACAGAAACTCATCATGGGCAGCAGCTGAATGTTAATACCCAGATTTCACCTCTTTCTTGCAAATTTTTCGTAGTTGTCTGGATGCCCTTGATATAAATCTGAACTCTGAAAGACCGTCATTCCATCAAATGCATCGCTTGTGTTCAAAACAAGCATGATTGTGTGTTGCCATTAGGAATCAAAGGGTTCAAGCATGCCACAGACATCAGTTTTCAAAAGTCACCACTTTTTCCCTGATGAAAGTACAGTTTTTCCCTGTCTAGATAAATAAAAATGTCAGATGAATTAGGGGCCTCCAGTCTCCGCTAACAGCAATACTATATACTCTGAGAATGACTGGCTACCTCTCCAGTAAGGAAAACATTGTTGAGATCACAGTGCCCTGAAATGTTTCTTCCAGCCTTCAATGCTATAAATCAGCCATGCTATGGTTTCAGCTTTCCCTGACTTATCATAAAATTCCCTGACTTTTCCCTGGCCTTGAAGAATTTTTTTGTCCCTGAATATTTTCTGACTTTTGTAACATTGTCAAGTAACCACAAAATTAAGTTTGTTATTTTTTTTCCCTGTTAGGCATGGAAAGATGTTTCAGATCATGCAAAACAGTTCATAAATAAATTACTTGTGGTAGATCCAGGGAAACGCATGACAGCAGAGCAGGCTTTGCAAGACCCATGGATTGCTTTTTGTGCTGCCTCTTCAAGTTCGATAAATCTTCAGAGGTCATTCAGTGAGAACTGGCGCATAAGTACCTCTCGGATAAACAGTGCCAGATCAAACACTTCTCAAAAGTCCAACAAATCTGTGAAGTCTGGTAGATCTGTTCTTTCGCTTCCTAGACGGACAAAAGGTACTAATGTGCCTCAAGAGACTAGTTTGATCTTGGGTCTTACTGACGTGCAAACTAAAGAAATCAAACAGGGTGGCAACAGATCATCTGGTTTGAAGGAGTCTAATGTTAAACTAACAAAGCAATTTGCTGAGAAACTACATTCTGTAATCGATGAAGATGACAGGGAACTGCTTAGTAGCAGTGCAACTGAATGCGATCCCTCCATTGTTATGTGTACTACAGAAGGTGACAGTAACAGACAGCAAGTGGTGACACAAGACATTGTCTTAAGCAGCAGTCATGCTGTTGGTTCAAACAGGAAAACCAAGAATCCTTATGAGGTTAAAACAACTGATTCCATAGGGGTGCAATACGCTGCTTCACAGGATGTTGTAGAAGAGGAAGTGAAAGGGATACCAATTCCAATTCCCAAGGACAGGTCACAACAGTCACGCTTAGTGATGAGAGACAATTTCTTGGAAGAGCACCGTTTACAAGAGGCACAGCAAGATTGCTCAGAGGATAGTGGTTTGAGACTTTCTTTCCATGGAGAATCTCCTCCTAGACACCGTTCACTTTCCCCTTCACCAAGGAAAAACAAGGTATATTGTACTTTTGACAGCAGTTAGTTGTACTGTGTATATTTTTAGATATTTCAATTATATGAAGAGAATCCTTCAATATTTTGGAGTGTTACAGCTTTATAACTTCAAACATAACAAATCTGTTCTAACATGAATTAGTACAAATGTACTTGTGTTCTATCACAAATGCTGTTCTCTGATTGGCTATGCTACTCACTATCTATTCTGTTGTAGATACTGAGCAGCCTAGCAGTGTACGGTTGTAAGAAATGGCAACTGCTTCTTTACTTTTTCAAAGTGTCAGTATAGATGATTTAGATAAAGTTTTCTACAATGAGTAGATTTATACTAAAACAATAAACAGATTATTCACTCTTGATTTCTATGTGTGATAGTGTACTCGGGCTGCACCCTTGGCAACTATCATGCAACAGAAATCTTGAGCTCATAATCTAACTGTCAATTACATGTATTACATTGAAGAAAACATTTGATACATATTCATACTGTGGCCCTTTGTGCCAGCCATCGTGAGTCAGCAAGCAAGGCATTAAGATCCCATGCCACAATAGAGGATTTCTAGCATACTAGTTGTGTTTGCAATTTAAGGAACACTGGCAGAAAAATATGCATTTCAGGATCTTTTTGAAGCCCTAAATTGTTTGTAAGCTTCTCAGTGATATTTCTTAGATTGTACACAACTTCAAGGAATACTTTTCATTGGAAAATTTTAACTTAACTAATTACTTCCCCTCACCCATATAGTAATTCTGTCTCTGAAGGCAAAGAAAAATGGTCTGAATCTCGTGACATGTTATTGTTCCACACTATTGCCCACAAGGGGAAGGATTGATGGTGGCAATGATGAAATATATTGTTCTTTAATGAAGCCAGTGGTACGGTGGACATAACATGAATTATGGCTAGTTTGATTAAAATGTCTCATTCCCAAGACACCAATGCTGAATTAGAAAGAGCACATGGGAAGTGAATGATGAAGCTGGTGTGTAATTGAAACAAATACTTTTCAAGTTCTGTTCACTAGTACTATAATTTGTTTAAGACTGATTGAAATGTGTAAAATTGTTACCAGATGTAATCATGTTAACATAATTGTTGTGCTATTGTTGTTTAACATATAATGGTTAATAATGGTAATAGGACTGAGTGGAGTCCAATTAGGTCTGTAATCATACAAGTGATTAACAAAATTGGACGACCGCGAAGCGGGAGTCCAATTTGTTAATCACGAGTTATTATTATTACCAATTAATCAAAACTATGACAAAATTCGAGAAACAAACAAACCATTGATTGAGCGCTGAACAATTAAACGTCGTTATGAATGCTGAAAAACACAGCAGTTTACTCAACGAAGTGCACCGCAACAGTGTGCGTAAAATGACGCGTACTGTCCAATTACAAGCATGATGCGTACACTGTCCAATTAATGCTCAAATTGGGCTGCTGATAGCCCATCACGTTCGAGAATTTTGTTATAGTTTTGATTAAGATTTTAATAGGACAAACTAACAATAACATAGTTTAATTCTGTAATTATTTTGCCGAAAACATTCTTCAAATGTAGGAACATGCCTACTTAAATTTACTCACGGTTATCCAATTAGGATGTGATCACCGTGGATGCATAATTATTTTGTTGTGTTCATCAATAAGTAAGTCGTAAACAAATGATGTAGCAGTGATAAGTGTGAACCTGTGAACTTTTAGATTTCAAAAGAATATAACCGAAACAAATTTATTGCCATGCTGTTTTTGTCAGCAGTGGTAATCAACATGGCATTCAAGAATATAAATATACAGGCTTTGTTGTTGCCTTGCTCAATTTTTTCTCAATTGTATTTGTAGTCCTATGGTTGGCCATTCGTTTCAAAATTACAACAGGGTATATGTGAGTTTTTCTGCCGCGTATACTTGTTTACATACATTACCTATAGGCTTCAAGCCCATATATAAGGGCATTTAGATTGCGTACATACGTATTTTTAAAGGACCACATATTTGTGTCAACTCAATTGCGGGGATGTGCAAAATAAATGCCCAAATATACGCGTCTTACAAAGACCATATTTACGTGTGCTAAAACACGCGTGTATGTGGGTCTCATAAATTATGTTGTATATACTAGCATGAAATGTGCCTTTTGAGAGAATGGCTGTTAGCGTATGATAGCAATGAAAATTACTTCAACTTAGAAATCGTCAATATGGCAGCAGAGGTAAAATGCCTTGTTTTGGTCTATCTGCTATGTAATGTTTGTTGCTCCAGCTCTCCAGTGACTTAACTTCTTGAAACAGTTACGCGTCTTTTGAATGACTGGTCAAGATTTTGTCCTCACGCTGATTGCCATGATTTGTTGTGGATTATTCTGTACATCGTTTAGTTGATTCATTGGACAGAGGTGCCCAAGCAAATGCAGAGAGGATATGACCTCTAGAATCGCTAGTGAGACAAATGCAACATTGACTACTTAAATGGAAAATGTTTGCATTAAGAGCAGTTTCATACACCTCAGTCCTCCCATTAGGGCTTTGCCAACTGTATATGAAATATCAATACCTCAAGGGGAGTTTCAGGAAACGGAATGTGATTTTAGTGTAAGTCCTATTGAGTCTTAACCAGTTGATTCATCTGGTTGGGTGTTATCATCAAATGTGTCCCTGACAGCTAGTATTTCCAGTATTATATATCTTTTGAAATCACTGTGTACACCCACATTTGTTGAGGAGTCCAGTGACCCTCTGTGCGTACAGAATGATTATTGCCTTAATTAGGAGGTTTAACTGGGTGTTAATTCTGGAAAGAAATATGTAATGCAAACAGAAGAGATCGATTATGATGGTCGATTCCAGGATGCCATTTTCTTTCATCTGGTAGAACAGGGTGTAGTAGAACTGGCTGACTCCAATGAAGACTTCTCTCCAGAGACACTCAATTCACTGGGTGTGTACAGACAACCCAGCAATTTTGCTTCCCCTATTAAATTCCCTGTGCCATAGCATAGCTCTTCCTACCCGTAAATTTTCATCCCCTTCATCTGAACACACTCTGGAGGACAATCCATAACTTTGCACAGCAGCTAAGAAGAGAGGGAGCCCAGTCGCAGTAGAATTGTTTGTTGCACAACTTAAAGTCTAAAAACGGCAGTGTAGTCCATCAATGTGCCAGAGAGAATTAGGTCCCCTGACACTGTAAACATGCCTTGTGAGGGTATTGAACCACCTC